AGGAAGGAGAGTGGGAAGAAAGAAAGAAAAGGAAGGGAGGGAGAGAGAGAGGAAGAAAGGAAAGGAAAGAAGGAAGGAAGGAAGGAAGGAAGGAAGGAAGGAAGGAAGGAAGGAAGGTAGGTCACCACCTCCAATATATACTACATGAACATGACATGATCAATAAATAAATTCAAAAATTACGTATATACCCACATATATTATATGACACAGAGAGACAAACACAGTGTAGCTTGGATGTATACACGTACATGGCAAGAGAAACGATTCTTGCACATTTGCCAGACAGATGGCCCAGGGAAACAAAGCTGTTACAGAATCTGGTAGTCCTGCTAGAAATGGTCCAAAACCTCCTCCCATCTTTCATGGGATTTAACCAGGGCTCTTCTTCCGAAGCCAAAGATGGCTGGGCAGCTGTCTCATACAAGCATCCTCTATCAAATCAGAACATTGACCCATTGAAAAGAAAATGGCTCTTCATAGTTGGAAGCCAGAGGGTTTTTCCAACCCCATCGATGGATGCTATCCATTTGGCCTCTGGACCTCCCTTTGCCGAGTGGGTCTTTCACACTGACCCACAGCCTTCCTGCATTCCAGACAGGGGTGGGATTCAAATTTTGTAACAACTGGTTCTTGTGGGCATGGCTAAGTGGGCATGGCCATGTGACTGGGTGGACATGGCTTCTTCTTTTTGGGCAGCACACCCTCCCCCTCATTCTTGGGTCTCAGAGAAGCTTCCTGGGTGAAGCAGTAAGTAAGCAAGGTGTAAGGCATTCAGAAAGTATCCATGATATCAATCACTCCGAGACATTTTCCCTCCGATTGATTTATTTAGAAACAGATCCGGCATGTCAAAGGCAATTTCCCAAGTGAAATTATTTTTGCGCATTACACAGAATCCACCTTCTCTCCTCCCACTTCTACCCTTCATAAATCACGAGAACCAATTAACTGCAACTGGAAATTCTTAATACGACATACAGAATAACCTTGAACTTTTCAACTCCTCCAACTCCCTTTAAAAAAAAAATGTGGCAGCTGAATTTCAAAGCAGACACCAGGGGAATCCTGGCACAGCTGATCATCAGAAGAAAGAGAGAGAAAAGAAATACCTTGAGGAGTGACGGGGAAGAATGCAGTCAGCGATGTTGGGCGTGTGCAATAAGGACCGACTGGGTGGGGAGGGGAGGAGCGGGTGGAGAGGGGAGGGGCCAGCCAGGGGCACAATTTGCCAGTTCTCCAAACTGCACAGAATCATAACAACCGGGTCTATAGAACCGCTCCAAACCGGTAGAATCCCACCCCTGATTCCAGAGGTCCCAAATGTTGGCTTCTAACCAGCGAGAAAATTTCGTCCAATCAATAAGTCTGAGAAGTTTAAGAGATGCGAGTGTCTCCTCTCGATCGCTCCTATTGTTCTTCGAAGAGTCTCTTTTTGCCACGCTGACTTACAGCTTCCCATTCAACATCTGGCAGTGCTAATTTCCACTGCAGTGAAGCCAATTAACATTTCCACTCAAATGACAGGGGGAACCTTTGCTTGAAAAGGTGTTGACCCCCTCTTTCCCTCCCCCCCCCCCCAGATTAAGGTTTGTCATTTCTTCCCCCACTTCAATTCATTAGCCGGAT